CAAATATTAATATTTAAGGTTTGATAGTAGGAAATGAGGAAAAGAACAAATTAAGTTCAAAGTAAGAAGAGGAGAACAAAAAATTGAGATAGAAATCAATTAAATGGAAAACAGGATGTCAATAGAAGAGACCAACAAAAGCAAGAGCCAGTTCTTTTGAAATTCCAATTTGTAAGGTTCTAAGTGGATTGCGTATGAAGGAAAGAGTAAGGATAAAACCTAATATTGGAAAGAAGAGCCGTCACTACAGACAACATGGGCATAGAAACAGCCATTACTGCAGACAACGCACGTATAGAAGAGCTGTCACTACGGACATCACAGGCATGGAAGATCCATCACTACAGACAGCATGGGCATAGGGTATCTATCACTATAGATAGCATGGGAATAGAAGAGCAATCACTACAGGTAGCATGGGCACTTAAAGAACTAAGAGAGATACTGTGAGCAAGTACGAAAACTCTGACCACAATTTCAGCGATGTAGGTGGCATCCAGCTATTCTTTGATAAACATGCTCCGTACAGATTATGAGGCAAAGCAGGAATATTGACAGGCCTGTGTCTTTTTTAAAAGTTGATTTACTAGCTAATAAATTTCCCAAATAGAAAGAACCAGGTACAGACAATTTCACTGGTGAAGCCACCTGAAGAGTCAAGGAATATATATATATGAGTGATAATTAGAAAATTCAATATAATGGTATCCAAAAATAATTAAACATGATGACCAAAGAATTATTTATCTCAGATATGCAAGATGAGTCTATGAACCCATCCTACCACCAGGCTCAAAAAGAATGTACAAGAAGTGTGACAATATGTGACAAGAAGTTATTTAACTTGATGAAGATTATGCACTAAAACTTACACCCACTGATAACGAGTAGGAGCTTCCCCACTAGGTCAGTAACAAAGCAGGAGTTCACTCTTACCACTGCTTATCAACATTTTACTGGAAGTCTTGACTAATGAAATAAGAACAGAAATAATCATTACAAGATTAAGAAACAAGGAGGAATCTGTCTTTTCAGATGGCGTGATAATCCTTACAAAGCATCTCACAGGACTACGAAGGAAATAAATGGAACTAGGAAATAATCATAGGAAGAGTTTGTACATGGCATTAATTTCCAGTTCAAGCACTGAACAGTGACAGTTGAAATTTAAAAAGCATACTATTTTTATTAGCATCTCTGAAAATTAAATTCTTTGATATAAATTTAATGAAGTTTGATGAAAGGTATAAATTTCAAATGGAAGGAAATTTACAAATTTACATAGCTATTCTATGTTAATGTCAACATGTCAGTTCTTCTCAGCTTCACATACAGTTAATGAACTGCCAATTGAACCCAGCAAATAATTTTAGTAGGTATTAATAAAGTAATTTTAAAATTTATGTGAGAGACAAAAGACCCAGAATGAGGAATTCAGTATTAAATGAGAACAAATTTTGAGGACTGTCAGTATCTGACTTTAGGACTAACTATAAATCTGCAACAACCAGAACAGTTCATACTAGTGGAAGAATGGAGAAATGGGTCAAAGGAACCAAATAGAGAGCTCAGAAACAGATCCACAGAAATTGACAGTTTGTTCTTATGCCAAGACAGTAAACAAAGGAAAAGAACTTGGGAAAAGATCATTTCGAAATAATGAATTGACACTTGAACTCTATACCTTTCACAACACTTGACTCAGAATGGACCACAGACTTAAGTGAAAAGTACAAATGATGTTGCCCACAGAGATGACTCTGAAGAAAGCCTATTCTCGCCGAGATTTGGCGGTGTCTTTTAAGATGCAATTTATAAATTCCATTCTGATCAAGAACTTCTGCTATATAAATGGCACTGTCAGGAGAATGAGAATCATCAGGCAGGGAGAATGAACTTGTCAAAGTTATAACTGCTTAAAACAAACAAAAAAGCAAGTTAAAACTAAACAAAAAAAATGACCTCTTAAAATGGTTTTACTTATTTGAATACTTGGTCAACAGTCGATGGTGATATTCGGGAAGGCTTAGGAGGAGCAGTTCTGGTGACAGAAGGAAACCACTGAGGATGGGCTTTGGGAGCTTACGGTGCAGCCCCAATTCCAGCTTGCCTCTCTGCTTCATGCTTGTGTTTGAAGATGTGAACTCTCAGTAGCACAGCCATATCTGATGGGAATGACAAAAGTCACGAGGCCGCCACAGCTGCTTGACAGAGATCCAGCAATGCTGAGCCACGGGATGGCAGCCATGCCCTTTCTGTTTTTATCTCTGCCAGTGGCATAGTTGGGGAACTATTAGTATTAGTACAATTTGGGCATACTTGACTGATGAAAAATTTTTATGAATGAATTAGGTCTTCTCCCAGGAATACCACTTCAAGGTTCCCCAGAAAAGTCCTAAATATCCTACTCCTCCTGTGTATCCGTTTGAAGGTCTTCCTTACTCTTTTGAGGTTATGACACACATATAGAAGCCAGAGGTCTCTTTATGAGATATTCTCAAAACATCTGGCCCTGCGCTTAGAAACAAGATAACCAAACAAAGTAAACTTACAAAGGTCAACAGGATTCTGTGGGCTAGAGGAGTTAGCCGTAGATCAGATTACAAAATTCTTCCTGCTAAATACTCAGGCAATTCTGTTCCACAAACAGCAGCAAAATTAGGTCAGCTGATGTTAATTCTGCCCCATGCAGAGACATATTGATAAAGAGTGATATAGAAAGATGATAAAAGAAAGAGATATCAGGACCTCCCTTCCTTGGAGCCACAGTGATGTCCTATGACAAAAGAACAAAAGAATGCCACAACTAGACAAACACATTATACAAAGATGTAAAGCATAAGCATTGCATTATGTCAGAATTGGAATAATAACTGCAGCAACTTTGGACTGAATTTTTTTTTCTTGGTCTGTGTAACAGTTAAGAGTTAATAATATATTGCTTGTGACATGGCAATCTTCCTGGGCTAACTTGGAGATTTTGTTTTGATATGGCGTCCATATAGCCACAAAAGCTACTAGACTGAGAATAGGCTGTTATATGCCTTTATATTCTTAAACGTTGTGTTATGGTTATGAAAGATAACTGTTTATCAATGATGATTGCACTCGGGCGGGGGGGTGGATGATTGTAAAAGATAACTCTGTTCTGTCACAGTTTATCAGTGATGATGAGATGTGCAAGAGAGGGTGAAACTTATGTCCAAAAGCAAGAATGCTATGACCTACATGCATTTTAGAACAGCATGCATCTATCCCTGCTTATTGAATTCTGTATAAATAAAGAAATGCTCTGGATACTAGTCAGTCAGGCTGCAAGATTATCCTGACTATTCCACCTGGCTCATCCTTCCCTTGACAACTCCACACCTCCTTTCTGGGACCTGACCACCACCAGAACTGGTCCCAGGCTTCTGATATTTCTGTTCCTGCTACCATGCCTGTGGTTTACTGTCATGTTTCTCCATCATGATGTAGATAAACCCCAATAATATTCATGGTTCACCATGTTGGACTTTGTGGGTATATGCATTTTGATATGTTGGTTCCCTATCTGGAGTAAGTGGGCATTTGCTCCTGTCTTATTGAGAATAGTGTCACACCACAATGATCAGTCCAGCTACTTTAGAAGATGGCTAAAATATGTCTCACAAAACTAGCATTCTCACCCACCATAACACAGCATAACATCCAGAAAATGCATTGTCACTGTGGAATGTTAAACGGTGCCTTCCCCAGACTTTCCTTCAGCTTAAACCTTTTTCAGACATTTCATCAGAACAGACCTTTCCAGAAGTTACTAAAAACAAATAGACTTCATGTTCTCTGGACAAAGTTAAAGGAACTGTTTTTTTTAACAACATTCTTGCCATTAATTATTAGCTCTGTTATCTGGATTCAGCTACTTAAGGCATCAACCTTACGTAGGTCAAGATCTTAACATGTTGGAGAAGGGCGCCCATGGCTGATGTCTTTGCCTTGGGTCCACGGGTTGTTTTAGTTTATAAGGTGGGTGATTTAGGTCAGACATGTCCCCTTTGCTGATTGGGATCCCTCATGCCACACTGCTAAGAAAATTCTCTTTCCTGTGTTTGAAGTTGCCTATGTCATCAATTACCTATAGTTTTGTGCCAATGATCAAGGTCAGAATCACTGTGTTTTCAGGTGAGAAAAATTAAAAGACTGTTAAGTCTTCAACTAGGTCTTTGTACAAAGTCCATTTTACTAATAGCAAATTCTCTCTCATTGGTTACCAGAATTAAAAAAAAACACTGAGAAAATAATAAGGAAAGAATAGTATTTTGAGATTATAAAATGACTTATAGATACTAATCCCCCTGTTCATTATAAGACTATTTTATATATTACGTACACACACAGAGCTTTTAACTACATTTATAGTTATCTCTTGGGCCATCAAGAACCAGAGGGTATATCCAAATATTTCTAACTTACAATATTAATGAATATGCAAACATCAAAAACATCAGCAAAGTGCTACTGGGACAATATGTGAGGCCACTGGCAGTGGGTTCAAGATCTAACTAATGCACAGACTGACTTAGTGGAGCCCATTCTGTATGGAGAGATACCTTGCTTAGTCAGAAACAGGGGTGTGGGGGTGGGGGGGTGCCTTGGTCCTGCCTCAGCGAGATGATGGGGCAGACTTAGTAGACTTCCTAGGGGAGGCCTTACCCTCTTCAAGGAGCAGATGAGAGGTGAGAAGAGCAGGGAGAGTGGGAAGAGAGGAGGGAGGGGGAACTGGGATCGGAATATAAAAAATAAATTAATCAAAAACATTTAACATAAAAAATCACCAAAGGAAACTTACTCAAATGTAAAACACTTAATCAATATATAGATCATGTTGTTAATGTTTTATACTTCAGTGAAAATTCTAACTTGAAATATAATATTCTTTTGAATTACTTGTTTCCTTGTCTATAAGTAAAAATTCCCTCTGGATCTATCTTTGTTTGGTGCTATGGCACTCATGCTACCTTGAAGCCATCACAACGCCTTGGTCTGGAAGGTTGGACCTCTGCTGTTTTGCTTGAATGCTGAGTTTGGTCCATGCTTGAATAGTGGATGTGATTGGAGTATCTGCAATCACTGTTGATAAATGCTTCAGTTGAAGTGATCACCTACAGAGGGAGAAAAGGTGTCAATTATTTGGCTTTACCAATATATGATTTAGAAATGAGAATAACCATATGAAAATCAACTGATGTCTACGGAGATTATTGGCTCTCAACCACTGAACTAGGTAAACCCTGAACACAAAATTGAGAAAGAAAAACACAAAGTTCTAACCTCAGGGAGACTTTTAAATTTAAGCTGGTAAATCTATGAAGAAAAATTTAAAACCAGTGAGTTCAACATGATTCCTTTATATTTGAAATGAATGAAAACATTAAATTATAAATGTTAGGATTTTGATATCATTCTGCATGTCTAGGTTGTATGGCCTAAGAAAGGAAAAAGCATACATTAAAATTTGTTCTTAAGTTTTTATAATGTGCCAAACAGTGCCTTGCATACAACAGATACTCAATAAGCAGAAAAAATCATGTTATGGCTTGTAACAAGAATGATGTAAGATGCTTTACAGAGGGGTAGGTGCATGACAAAAGCTGATAGAGTTCATGTTTGGTGAACCACGTATGTAAGGTATATGTTCCATGTACCTCAGAGATACTGGCCATGTTTAACTTACGTTGAGATTTATTTATTCCCAAAGAGAAAAGATGATTGAAAATACAAGAGGTTAAAAACAGTCATAAAACTTCCTTATGCTTTATCATGGTACTCAGAGGCCTTGATTAAATATATAGTGATTTTCCTTTATTACATGGATGATGTCATATGATCAACACAATCTTATACTCCTTTTCCTGCTGCATACATTAATAACCATCTGTGTGAAGGGGCTTCTTGTCTTTTTATACAAGGATAGGGGATATGTTATCCATGCTTTATATATTTAGTTACATGTGTATTAGCAACTGGGATATACTTAACTACTTCATATTAGAAACAAAATTTATGAATTGCCACACCTGTAGAGTACATTGCTGCAAGTGTTTGGTGTCAAGTATACAAAGAACTGTATTTTAAGTATTTTCTAGTCTCTATTCTTTTTTCCATTTGTTAAAGACATGGTATCTCTATGCAGCCCTGGTTGTGCTGGAACTAGCTCTGTAGACCAGGCTGGACTTAAATCCACAGAGACCAGACTGACTGTCTTTCCAGAGATTAAAGGTATGCACCACCACCAATCATCTTGAGTACCTATTCTTAAGAAGAGGAAAATATGTACTTTGAGTCTTTAAAGTAAGAAATTACAGAAGCCCTCAGAAAATGGAAAGATCTCCCATGCGCTTGGATAGGTAGGATCAATGTAGTAAAACTGGCAATCCTGCCAAAAGCAATCTACAGATTCAATGCAATCCCCATTAAAATACTAGTACAATTCTTCACAGACCTTGAAAGAACAATAATCAATTTTGTATGGAAAAACAAAAGACCCAGGATAGGCAAAACAACCTTACTCAACAAAGCAACATCTGGAGGCATCACCATCCCCGACCTCAAGCTCTATTATAGAGCTCTAGTCCTGAAAACAGTTTGGTATTGGCACAAAAATAGACAGGTAGACCAAAGGAATCGAAGTGAACAGCCTAATATTAACCCAAAATGTGGGAACATCTGATCTTCAACAAAGAAGCTAAAAATATACGATGGAAAAAGAAAGCATCTTTAACAAATGGTGCTGGCATAACTGGAGGCTGGCATGTAGAAGAATGTGGATAGATCCATGTCCATTGCCATGCACAAAACTTAAGTCCAAACGGATCAAAGACCTCAACATAAATCCAGCCACACTGAACCTCTTAGAAGAGAAAGTGGGTGATACCCTTGAACGAATTGGTAAAGGAGACAGCTTCCTGAACATAACACCAGTAGCACAGACAGTGAGATCAACAATTAATAAATGGGACCTCCTGAAACTGAGAAGCTTCTGTAAGGCAAAAGACACCGACAGCAATATCAAAAGGCAGTCCACAGAATGGGAAAAAATATTCACTAACCCCACATCTGACAGAGGGTTGATCTCCAAAATTTACAAAGTACTCAAGAAGCAAGTCTCCAAAACACCAAAGGATCCAATTAAAAAGTGGACTACAGAACTAAATAGAGAATCCTCAATAGAGGAGTATAAAATGGCTGAGAGGCACTTGAGAAAGTGCTCAACATCCCTAGCCATCAGGGAAATGCAAATCAAAACAACTCTGAGATATCATCTTACTCCTGTCAGAATGGCGAAACTCAAAAACACCAATGACAGTTTGTGCTGGAGAGGATGTGGAGAAAGGGGAACACTCCTCCACTGCTGGTGGGAGTGCCAACTTATACAGCCACTTTGGAAATCAGTATGGAGATTCCTCAGAAAAATGGGAATAAACCTACCACAAGATGCAGCAACTCCACTCTTAAGCATATATCCAAAAGATGCCCATTCATACAACAAGGATGTCCGTTCCACTATGTTCATAGCAGCATTATTTGTAATAGCCAGAACTTGGAAGCAACCTACATGTCCCTCACCCGAAGAGTGGATAGAGAAAATGTGGTACATTTACACAATGCAGTACTATAAAGCAGAAAAAAACAATGGAATCCTGAAATTTGTAGGCAAATGGATGGCACTAGAAGAAACCATCCTGAATGAGGTAACCCAGTCACAAAAAGAGAAACATGGCATGTACTCTCTCATATATGGATTTTAGTCATAGATCTGGGGAGTGCCAGCCTACAATCCCATGGCCAGAGAATCTGGGAAACAGAACCTTCATTCAGTGGCTGATGGAAGCAGAGGTAGACTCCCATGGCTAAGTACTGAGCTGAACTCAAGAATTCCAGTGACAGACAGGGAGGACTGTTGACCAAAGGGGTTAAGACTGGGCTGGTTTAACCCCCAGAAACAGCTAACCTGACAAGGGTTAGCTCTTGAATCCCAGACTGATGCCTCAGAATCCAGCATGGGACTGATCAAGACCCCCTGAATGTGGGTGTCAGTGAGGAGGCCTAGGTAATCTATTGAGCCTTGGGTAGTAGATCAGTATAAATCTCAGGCATACAAATGGACTTTGGACTCCCATCCAACAATGTGAGATGCACTCTCACCCTGAACTCTTGGGGGAGGGTCTAGGCCCTGCCCTGGATGAAATGACAGACTATGGACACCGCCATGGAAGGCCTCACCCTCCCTGGGGAAATGAGGGGATACTGGGGGGTTGGTGGGAGGGCACGGGAGGAGGGGAGGGGAAGGAAGAGGGACCTGGTATTGACATGTGAAGCAATCTTGTTTCTAATTTAAATTTAAAAATAAAAAATAAAATATAAAAAAGAATAGGAAAATAAACAAATTTCTTCCTTGAGTTCATTTATGTTAACGTGTTTTCACTAAGGTTTAGAAAACATGCACTTGTTTATGCATGTATTGCAGAAAAGTATATTTTTGTATCTAAAATATCTATAGGTGAAGAAAATATAAACATGATTTGGGGGATGTGTCCATTATATATTATGCTTACTATATGGTGAGTGTACAGTTGATTGTCATTGTTTATGTTAGTCGCAGTCTGTAAAATTCAGTAGAACATGGAATTAGTAAACATCTAAACACTGATTCTTGAGAACACATTAGGACAGATATATCAGTACCTTGTGTCACAACAGTTTAACCAATTAACTAATAAGTAACCGTTCATGTATATTTCTGTTGAAAAGTACTTTCTTGAGTATATGCTCACATCATTAACATTCAAGTAGTGCATAAAATGCTTGGTCAAGCCAGCTTGAAGGTTATTTCACACACACACACACACACACACACGCTCACGCGTGTGCACACTCCTCATTCAAATTATAGTTTTTCTCTCTGTCAGACACTTTTGCATGAAAGAAACCTTGACTGAACTGTACCCTATTTTAAGTACGAAACAGGGCACGAAAATTGCAAAGTGCTTACAAAGCACACTGTGAACAGGTCATATATTGACACTCAGATGGCAAAGTGTGGTCTCACCTCCTATGACTTGCACCAAGAACTCACCTGTGCCCTCCACTGATAACCTGGTTTTCATCATTTGGCTCATGCTGGCCACTGGCCATGGAGTACCTGCACTATTGATTTTTTATGACATAAGTAGGAAATTTGCTGAAATATGATCTATAAATAAGGAGGGTCAACTGTGTATATTACCCATTAATTCTTCTTTTTTCCTTTTCCTGTGTATGAGTATGTGCGTGGTCATCTCTGCACAAGTGCATGTGTATGCATTTGGGTATACATGTTGTGTGTGTGCGTGTCCAAGTACGTGCAGATGCACGTGCGTGTACAGGTTTATGTTGTGGGGTGTGCATATGGAGATCAGAGGACAACCTCAGCTGTTATTTTTTCTGTTGTTCTTTTCATTTTTTGAGAGGGATTCTTACCAGCTTAGAACTCACTAAATAAAGTAGGCTAGCTGGCCATTGAGCACCTGGGTTCTGCCTGTCTCCGCCATGAAGTACTGGGATTGTCTGCACATACCACCACATCCAGATTGTTTTTATGTAGGTTCTTATCTTCCATCCTTGCCTGTCTTCCTACGCATACTCCATCTGGCCTAAGAATATTTCAGAGATCCAAATACCATGCAAAATACAATTTGTATTTCCCATTTGGTGACATCACAGCCTAAGTTCAGCTCTTGTTTAAAGTTTTATTTTCAATCCACTCAGAAAACCCTCCACACATGGAGCCAACATTTCAAGAAGATTGCTCTCTGCCTTTTTGAAGTTTCTTCCTAACCTGAAATCTTCATTTACAGATTGTGTATCTTCCCCAGTCATCTCTCTTCAATAGTTTTATTGTCTCCACTGAAACAAACACTGCCAGTCTGATGAGTACAGCATGCAAGCATCCCGTTCTGTATTCACACTCCTTTGATGAGACAAACTAACTCTACATACTTCTAGACTTTGGGGGGGGGGAGGAATACACAGCAAAATGGTGGAAAGATAAACCTTTGCTCCTAGTTTCTCATAAACACTAAGCTGATTGTAAGTAATCAGTATAAGTAAATCAGTATA